GGAGAAAACGTAGCGAATGTAGCCCTATGGACGAACAACTTCTGAGATACTTCGCCGACCTAAACGGGGTTAGGTCGCCGAAACAACAGCCCTTGGTCGGGTAAAACCCGAGTCATTCCGGTACGTAGAACCGGCTGTCGTGGGAATTAATTATTGGTTATCGTCGATCTCGCTAGCGAATTTAACGCAAATCCCAATTAAAATCTTATCTTATTCTGGCTGGACTTGGTTTATTTCTATAAAATCAAAGTGTTATGTCTTTGCATATGTACATGTACAAACAGTAATACTTACCACAGTGTGTCCTTCGCTTTTCTCGATTGTTCGACGACTGAACTGCCTTTCTTGTTGCGTTAGCAAATATAAATTAGGGCAAGTTATGTACGCACAAGGAGAAACAGCGATTGACGCATTGCGGTTAGCTAACAAATGTAATAGCCATATGGGTGTTTCCTGCGTTACGGACGTTCCGCTTGGAGACACTTTTTTCCATATATGCTTCTATATTGGCAGTAGGCTAACTTCTCAATATGTAAGCATTCCGAAGTCAAAGCGAGACAGTCTACCCAGCCAGCAAAATCATCGTAAACAAGCTCGTAATTGGATATTTTCTCGAAGAAAAACCGGATTAAAAATCGTTTATGATAGCCGTTTACGACTCTTTTTCGAACACTTTTTCGCTTTAAATTGTGCATCGCCTACGAACAGTCGTAAACGGATCGAAAAAGCATTCGTATGCGAATATTTTTACGTCCGTTTTTTAATTGTAAACGAGTCTCGTAAACGATTAATTTACGTTAAAAAAGCGTTTTTTTACACTCCTTTATCTACTGTTTTTGAATGCTAAAAATAAAGGCAATTAATAAATTCAAATTATTGTAGTTCTTTTATTGAATGGAATTATAATTAATAAATATTTATAGTGCCGGATCAAAGTATTGGCACAGAGAATTTTTCGCAATGTATGCAAAGTTTTTTACTTGAATTTCTTTTGGCACATTTTTTTTAAATATAGATAGTATGAAGACCTACTTTCAAATCAGATTTTTGAGAAAAATTCGAAGTATGCAGTTTTATATCCCATTATATTTTAGTATAACATAGTGCAAGCTTGACGTTGCCAGAAAACCGCGTTGATTATTGGCAATTTTTTTACGCAGTTTCTTCCATGCAAATTATGTGCGACATTTTTTTCTTGTATGGAGGAAACTGCGTATAAAAAATTGCCAAAAACAAAGAGGTTTTCTAGCTATTCAAGCGTGCACTTTATTATACTAAAACAAGTAAGAGCAGCGCTGTCTTCGGCTATGCCGAAGGCTTCATACCTTTCATGAACATCTGAAAACTTTACTTTAACAGATTACTGCATTTGAAAAAATTTATATATTCACAGCACACATAGATAGAGGAGTTACATATATAAAAAATCGTATCTAAACAATCAGAGGTATGCAGGATATACCCTATATAGCACCAATCAAAGTGATTTTCACTGCTGTGTGATCGGTATGTAAACCGGTAATACAATTTAATACTTTTAGCTTCTTACATAAAGGAGATAAATCGCAAAAACTGGTATAGGAACAATCAGTGGTATAAGAGATAAAGCATATACAGCATAGATTTTGACGATTTTCTCAGTAGACTTTGTATTATTATTTATACAATAGCTTACGAAATTTATCGGTTTTAGCTGTCCAAACAAATTAGTTTACATTAAAACCCCATATATGAACAATCAGTTATATGGAGGCAATATATAAGTTACAGTGACCCGATCTTTGTTAATTTTACTGTAAACTATCTGTTGATAATGAGTGAAAATAGTGCGAAATATCATGTTTCTAGCTGCATATATTTAGAAGATATAACAAAGAATCTCATAATACAGTGCCGGGAAAAAATATTGGCACAGAGAATTTTTCGCCATGAATCCAAAGTTTTTATACCTTTCATGAGCATGAAATGGTATTATAACTTTGGTCCGATGTTTGTAAGTACCAGAATAAGAAGAGATAGACCCATTAAAATGTATACTTAAATGATCAGAATGTCGATGCTGAGTCGATTTAGCCATGTCCGTCTGTCCGTCTGTCTGTCTGTCTGTCTGTCTGTCCGTCTGTTTGTATGCAATCTAGTCTCTCAGTTTTCGAGATATCCGGATCAAATTTGGTAGGTGGGTGTATTTTTATAATGTATTAATCATTTGTCGGAACCGGAAGAATCGGACCACTATAACATATAGCTCCCATACAACTGATTGTTCAGATATGAGATTTTTCGTTATAACTTCTCCATTTATGCAGCTAAGAAAATTAAATTTTGCAATACTTCCACCCATTATTAACAGAGAACTCAGATTGAAAATTACAAAGATCGGGTCGCTATAACCTATAGCTATCGTACTACTGATTGTTCAGATATAAGATTTTTCGTTATAACTCCTCCATTTAAGTAGCTAGTAACATGAAATTTTGAACTGTTGTCACTCATTATCAAAAGAATACTTTCAGAGAAAATGACGAAGATCGGGTCGCTATAACCTATAGCCTCCATCAACTGATTGTTCAGATATGAGATTTTTTTCCATAACTTCTCCATTTATGCAGCTAGGAACATAAAAATTCTCACCGTTTTCACTCATTATTAACAGAATATTTACAGTGAAAATAACAAAGATCGGGTCACTATAACATATATCTCCCATTCAACTGATTGTTCAGTTATGAGAATTTTCATTATGACTCCTCGATTTATGTAGCTAGGAACATGAAATTTTGCAATACTTCCAACGATTATCAACAGAATTCTTACAGTGGAAATAACAAAGATCGGGTCACTTTTACATATAGCTCCCATACAACTGATTGTTCAGA